ACGGGGATTCGAACCCGCGACCCGCAAATTGCGAGTCGAGCGCCCTAACCACCTGGCCATGCCGGGCCTCTATTTGACTTGACGCTGGTCTCCATTCCCCTTACATGTTTTATATCTTCATGAACTGTTAAATAGGAAATATGAACTTTGAAATGTTTATTTTCTGTAAACATTAGGAATAATCTTGTATGTAAACAATGCATTGGGTCAATATGACCCGAAATATAATAGATATACCTAAATTATGAACATAATAGCAGGATTGCTAAGTTACCATCTAATAATTAAAAAAATTCAAAATTCTGTTTAGAGGTCAACACTTTGTTGATACAATTACAAAGAAATGCATACAACTTTAAAGAAGCTTTGTGCGACACATGGACTAAAGGCCCAAGTCAGAGACCACAAGGTTCAGGTGAGGCCATCCCTAGTTTGGAACTACTCATCAAAGTGACGGTATCCAGTCAATATAACCCACTATATATATGCAGCTGCTCTACACTAATAGCATTATTGACTTTCCTGGTTAGAATGCCCCTACAGTTTAAAGTTTGAAGATTAAATTAACATATTTCAGTTCGAACCTTAGACCTTTTGACCAACAATCCAACATACTAACTACAAGACTATGCCTGAATCAATACAAGTACAGATAAAATTAATATCGGGCCACTATGAGGGACAAGCCTACTGAATTAAAATGAAATAATTGCTTGAGATAAAAATCGCACATTTACACAAAGCTACTCAAGCACTAGTTAACACACAAAAACATCAATCTTGACGAATTTTCTGCGCTATATGTTTGCTATCGAACGATTGCTAGATACTTAATGACCAGAGTCTGTTTGTTTGTTTGTTTGAAGTTAAGCACAAAGTTGCACAATGGGCTATCTGTGCCCTGCCCATCACAGATATCGAAACCTGGTTTCTAGCGTTGTAAGTCCGCGGATATACTGCTGTGTCACTGGGGAACCAAAGAATCTGACTTTCTTTCTTTCTTTTATTAAAGCTACACAATCTTGAAATATTATAGGAGCTCATCCATGAACTCTTTCAACTCTATTGGTTAATCTGTTTGACTCATCGCATCTCAAAGGCATGTTGACAAAGCTGACAAGTGATGTGTTTGCCTTAGACTAAAACGAATAATGATTTTGTTTCTATAAAACTGACAGACTGAAGATTGTTGACAAATCAGAAATTCTTTTTCCATATCATTCAAAGCTATACTTTATGTACACTATAACATTTAAACTTATTAGTTCACCAAAGCATCAAATACATTTTTCACATAATACAAATGAATGTAATTTATAACCGAAAAAGTTCGTGTACAATCCTTGTTTATCACGGAGTTCAATAGCAAATAAATTAATTGTGCTATATAGAATTGACAATCATAATGAAACTAACTGATGTTAACAGTAAGAAAGGTCTTGACAAATTATTTCAATTTGACTATTTCTCAAAATAAAAATAGGGTTTACAAGAATAGACACATGAAATCATTATATATATGTGTGTGTGTGTGTGTGTGTGTAGGAGGTTTCTACGAAATATATCATGTACTTGAAATCCACACCTAATTTGACTATACCGTCGTAACGAAAAATAGTTCTTTTGACCCTCAGATTACCCCTCTCCTATTGCTGACGTGTTTCACCATAGCATGGTATCGTCAATATATGAAATATTTATTAACAAAACATCAAATTAGAAAAAGACGACATTATCCAAGATTTATCAAAAATAATCTATATGCATCCTACCTTTGAAGATTGTAAGAATAAATATTCAAAATAACTTTGATAACAATAAAACGTTTTGACAAAATATTTCAAGTTTGTTGCTTTTATTATTTCTTACTATAAGTGATATGGTCTACAAAAAATGACATATCTTTTCTTTCAGATCTTAAAAAAAAACATTACGTTTAT